GTGGGGCTGGGGAGGGGGCTCGCCCGTCCCTCACGTAACCCCCAGCCCCTGGGGAAGGCGCCCCGGGCTGCTGTCACCTCCTTCCCCTTAAACGAAACGAAATCGGTTTGATTCCGGGCTTCCAAGGTCGTCCTGGAAAGGTACATGTCAAACCCACGGGGTGTGCATTTTATTTTATTTTTTTTAAGATTATTTCCGAGATGTAATTCTTGCGTGGGGCCTCTGGGCAGGGCTTTTTCGCTCTGCTCGGGTGAGGAGGGCCAGCTCCTGATGGCCACAAGGGGGGCAGCGCGGGTCACAGGCCCGCAGGCAGATACCCTCTCTGCCTGGTGAGCAGAGGGCAATTATTACACACCCGGTACCGTCCTTCGCTCTGTACATGCTTAGTCTATGAGGGAAATCATCGTGTGCCTTCGCTTTGATAAATTCAGGTTATTCTCAGAAAACAGCTGGTCACACTACAATGTAGCTTCCCCTGGGCTGGGATGTGCCTTGATGGAATCGCCCATTTTTTGGTGGCTGTATTTCAGTTTGCGTGACACTAGCCTGGCCGTTCAGCATGTAAATACAATCAGCGATATGTCAACACCAGGTATTTCTCTAGAGATGGCTGTTCTGTCCAGAACAGATTGCTGAGCTTTACAGCTGGAACACTGAGTCATCGCCTCTGCTAGGACAGCTGCAGGAGGCTGATGTGCAGTATCTCTGCTTAATGAGAGGGCGTAGCACAACATTTTCGGCGTGAAAATAGCCAAGTTAGAAAATGCCTGTGCCCGGGATGAGCAAGGTTGGGCCGGGTGCGATTTCCTGCCGAACGCTGCGGTGCAGCTGGAGCCAAGGGCAGGACTTGGGGAGGGTTTTGTCATTAGATACACTAAGCACTGTGGGTTAGCAGAGCTGCTAACCATCCAGTTAGGCAGCATACTGACCATACCGAGCAGGCAGGCCCACATTAGCCAACGCTGCGCTGCCTTGTCTCAGTTTAGAGGCTCTCGGTGGTGTGTTGTTACTAGAATAAGCTGGGATTTTTAGTTTAGTAGTAATTGTATAATGCTACTCCACAGACCTCCATTCTTACACAGCCTAACGTGTGAAACGGGCACTGTATGCAGGTATTTTAAATTAAAAAATATAGGCTGTGTGGGGGAGAGACGATGTTTATCGTACGCCGAGTCACGCAGAACTTTGATTTCAAGACGTCCCGCTGTTGTGACAGTAGAAGCCAAAGTTGCGTTTCACCCTGTTCTTGCCAAGATTGCGTGCGGCTTCTGTTGAGATGGAGCTTCCTGGAATTGTATAAACTCCATCTATTTTCCTGCACAGTCCAGTTTACTGTAGACTGTGTGCTCTTCTTCTTCCCCCATCTATGTTTTTGTTGTTAAAGTGGTTTAAACTTTTTTTCAAACAGGATTTCTACAACTGGCCTGATGAATCCTTTGAAGAAATGGACAGTACGTTAGCTGTTCAGCAGGTATTCTTACTTAGGTGAAATGTTGTTGATAAGTTCCATCTCCCAAATCTTTTATTTTGGTAGAAAAACGGAACGGAGCATGCCATTTTTCTGCTTAGAATATGGCTGCACCAACTGACAAATACACCTAAATATTTTAAAAAGTGTAAATATTAACTGTGTATGCAGAAATAACTCACATTCCCACGCCAGGTTTAAACAAACCCAATTTAAGAAAATGGTTGGGTTTCCTGTGGGCTTCTTTTGTTTTGAGATGGGTATTGTAAAAAAGCTGTAAAATTTACCCATTCTTTTACCTTTTCTTAATCGAGGAACGGCACTTTTCACATCTGGCATTTTTATACCGTTTCTTTGCCTCCCTATTTTTTAGTCCTTCACTCACTCCTTAATTAAAAAGTAAGTCCCTCAAAGATGCAACATCCTAAATACACTTTCTTACTGTGATTACAACAAGATCCAGATTTACTTTCTTCCCCCTCTCCCAGTATATTCAACAAAACATAAGGGCAGACTGTTCCAACATTGATAAGATCCTTGAACCTCCTGAAGGCCAGGATGAAGGCGTATGGAAGTACGAGCATTTAAGGTAAGAATCCATCTTTTGTCAACACAGTATCCCCGTACGAAGTTTTGGTCACTGACAGTGAGATTTTTGAATAGGAGAGATCAAAAGTAAGTTAAATGAAACCTGCTATGTCTACTGTTAAGTATTTTTACACTTTGGTATTAACTATTTTCTGAATTCCTTGTTCTTTCTAAAGATTTATGATGTGCTCTGATCTAGTGTTCTTGAAGTTTTTTAAGAAAACATTTATGCCTCACTTCAAAGGTTGTACCAGCATGTTTTGAATATGGAAATATTCTCCGATGGTATCATCAGTTGTTTATCTCTACTAATTGTGAATGTGATTTCCAGGTGCTCCCAGTGCTGCTTCTGAAACTTGCAGGAAAACAGGCTGCAGCCGCTGGGAAAGCAAGAGTAGCTCTGTCTTGCAGTTCTTGTCTAGTTGTAAGGAACCTCGAAACATTTTGTCCTTCCCTCAGTTTGTTTTTATGCGGTATAACAACACAACACGTTCGGCCTCGGTCGTTTGTGCCTGGACGTGTTTTTCAGTTAGAGTGTAGGTTTACACCCTGTTAATAGGTAAGCAGTAATCCTGTCTTCCTGGCATGACTTTAGCATCCTTGTGTCCTGATTTTTTTTTTTAATTATAGTTCTAAGCTATTCCTGGATATCCTGACTTTTTGCCTCCCATTTTCATTTTCTCTCCTCTGGTCTGGAATCATTCCAGTCCACGCAGGGAATCCTCAAAAGAGGAAAAAGTGCGTATAGATACAGTTGCAAAAGACACATTTTAAGTTTCCTCTGTCCTTTTACGTATGCCAGAAGTCACTGCAGATTCATAAGACTGACTTGTCACCAAATAGCTGTCACTTCTGGAAAATTTTGTCTGATTTTTACTGTAGGATGGAGGTGTGAATTTCTCAAGTTAACGAACACACGTTGGCGTTCATTCTAGTCAAAGCAGTGTTTCTAGAAGTCCCACTCTCTTAATGCTCTGTGGTGGGATTTTAGCCACTTACTGATCTGGAAGAAGTCTTGTCTGTTTTAGAAGGATGAAATGATCCAGCAATAAGAATTTAAAACTTAAGAGTCTTAAGAAATTGATTTTCTTGAAGTGTTATTTATTTATTTTTTTTTGAAATACCAACTTTGTTATAGAACAAAGTTGGTATCTGGAACACTGCCACCAAATTATTTGTTAAGCTCAGCCTCTGTTGTCAGGTGAGAATTAAAATTGGTTTGATGAGTGGAAAAAAAAATATGCTGGTGTGAATTCTGTTTCTGCAGTCCTGTTACAGTGTGTTAATTCCTAGCCTGTTGGCTTTTCAGTATGACGTCAGCTGAAATTATTTGATGGTATTCTTTAAGTGTGATTTTTTCCATGATCTGTGAAGAAGATCAGAATGTACAGCCTTGTTTTGTATTAGGAGTTTCCAGTGGGAAAACAAATTGCTGGTTTTGATGCTGCTGTGTTCAAATTTTTTACAGACAGTTCTGCCTTGAGCTCAATGGACTAGCTGTCAAGCTTCAGGTAATTCTTTTCTTGATATTTTTAGATTGTATCAGGGAGGAGACTTTTATTGTATTGTAAGACATGGGACTTTCTTCTAAATCTATACACCTAAACTTAAGGAGTGACTTGAGGTAAGAGTTTTTTAAGGCTTTCAAGTCTTTTGGCAAAAAACCCCTTTCTGCTGGGGGCCAGGGTAAGAAAGTGCTTTGAACAGATCAGCTCCTTTTCGCTCTTGGGTGGTTTTTGTAACTGAACAATTGTTTCAACAGAGTGAATGTCACCCAGACACGTGTACTCAGATGACAGCAACTGAACAGTGGATTTTTCTCTGTGCAGCTCATAAGACTCCCAAAGAGGTACGGCTGTATTTTGGAAAACTGACCCTGTTGATGCATGGTTCCTGTGTTGGGAGGGAGACTGTTCTAGTCGGTTTCTCAGTCAGACTGAGAGAGCTTCTGTGGGTCAAGAACATCACTTTGAGGTTTCCTTCTTGCCCATTGGTTCACAGAGGAAATATAGTTAGACCTTCAGAGAAGCTCTATCAAACTCTGAGAATAAAAATGACTGCTGAAGTTAAAAGCATCAGGAAACATAATTAAACTGTTTTTCTGTCAACAAGTTACAGGACTTGCATGCATGTGCTCACTCGCTGTCTGTTTTTGTAGTGTCCTGCTATAGACTACACCAGACACACACTTGATGGAGCCGCGTGTCTTCTGAATAGCAATAAATATTTCCCCAGCAGGTAAAAATGCTTTATTTTGGGAGGAGGGGGTAGGTGGCCCCTGAATACTTTGAAGTTGGTGTTATGGGGCTTCCAGTGGAGCAGAGCCAACCGGAATAACAGGATGGCCTTTAGAGAGATGCTGTGACTTTAAATTTATAACTGAGTAAGTTCAAAACAATTTAAAGCAATTTTGAAATGCACCCAACATTTTTATTTTCCTTGCAACAACAAGCAGCTGCAGACACAGATGTCTGCAACGCTGAAGTCTAAATGTCATGTGTAATTCTATATAGTACAGTTTAGGAATCGGAATTCTTGGTAGCCGTTTCGGTAGACCCGCTGCGTAACCTTTCTCCTGGTGCTTTCAGGGTTAGCATAAAGGAATCCTCTGTAGCCAAACTAGGATCGGTGTGCCGAAGGATTTACAGAATATTTTCACATGCTTATTTCCATCACCGGCAGATATTTGATGAATATGAAGTAAGTAGTTTCAAACTGTATCTTGAAAGAAGGGCGTTAATCACAGTTACGGCTGTGAGACAGTTGTATTACGTGTTTCCTTATAGTCCTGCTAGAAGAGCTGCTTTCAAGCGAGGCATTGCTTATAGCAGATACCAGCTTTATAACAACTGAAATGCTGTGCTGTACGTGTGTATATATAAAGGAAAATGAATTCAGCTCCTTACTTCACCCAGTTACGGTTTCCCTTCATCTGGATAAAAGGTCAGAAGTTGAGAGGTTTTGTACAACCAGCTCCAATCCCCCTTGTTTTCAAGATTCCTGAATGTATTCAAGGACTCGGTATAGTTGGTACCGCTTACGTCTATGGTTCCTGTTTGTGTACGGCACACAAGAGTTAAAGAATTATAATTGTAAAACTGCAAAGAAACAGAGTAACTGGCAGCAGCTTGTGCACCTCCAATATGTGGGGTTTTTTTAATAGAAAAATAGAAATTAATAGATGGAAAGGACAGAAAGGGTACAGCTGATGTAAAAGGACACCTTTGCTGAATCAGCTGAGGAAGGGTTGTGCCCCGTTCTGTCAGGGGTTTCACGATACCTTAAAATTTGCTTTTGGAGTGGATCAGGCCTGCATCGATACTTGAACATATTCTTGTCTAAGTACTGTTGAATTGAGCTGCGACTTAACCCTGAACTTCAGTAGGGCTTTTTGTTAATTGCAGTAACTATAAACAAGAAGTAAAGGAAAGATTTAAAAGAAGGGATATAAATTTACCATTTAAGCCTCAGTACTGTTTTCTAAGGCTTGTAAATCTAAAGAGGTAAGTAAATATAAGCAGGTTTTTGTTAGCATGTTCCCAGTTGTTTCAAATGTTCCTTCTGTTCGTGTTATTTTTTTCCCTTTTTTCATCTCCAGAATGAAACTTTCTTGTGTCACCGGTTCACTAAGTTTGTGATGAAGTATAATCTGATGTCCAAGGATAACCTGATTGTACCAATTTTGGAAGAAGAAGTGCAGAACTCAGTGTCAGGGGAGAGTGAGGCATGATGGCAATGACAGTAGAGGCGCCTGTATTGAATCTAAAGGAACCAGTAACTACGTACTGTATATATCATTTTAGACACTTCAATCACGTATCCTCCTAGCTTTGTTTAGTAGACTTTTTGTATGCTGTGTGCATTGCCTTTTAATATGGGAAATACTTTTTAAGTTATTCATGAGCTGTATATTCATCGATGTGGCACTCATGGTTTTTAAATAAAAGTAGTAGTATCTGTTTATAATGCCTGTTAATAAAAGAATTTACAGTTCTCTAAAATTGCTGCTAAACAATCATTGAATCACAATCCTGAAGATGTGTCCGATTGGGTGGGGAAAAAGAAAAAGCCAGATTTACGATTTCACAGCAGGCCATTTTTAAGGCAGTAGCTCTATTAAGTTGTAGTTCAGAGATTATCACCTTAAAGATACAATTCTGCAGGACGCTTCTTGCTATGTTGTGGCGTATTGCTAATTTAGCTCTTATTTTTTTTTAAGATGTCTTTGAAAGTTTACTTGTGGATGTGCACATTCCTGTACGTGTACATCCAAATACTAACAGGATCTACAGCATTAGTTATACCAAAAGGACAGTTTCACTATGCTATGGAACATATATATATATATTCTAGAGAGAGATGTATCTAACAGACTTTCTGGACTTGTTTTTTTGTTACCGGTAGAGGTTTGTGTGCAGCAGGGGATGGTTGCTGTCCTGTTAAGGCAGACATCTGCTGTTCTCCACTCCACAAATTCTCTCAAGAGTAACTGTGGCAGAAAAGTCAATGGCTTATACCTGTGCAAAGTTATGGCAACTGCTTACAGATTATACCTCATAAATACTCATGTTACACTACATAACACACTAGCACAGTCTTTGCTTGCGTTTCTAGTAAAAACATTCTAAGTACGCAAATGTTGAACCTAATTCTTTGCAAGAGTTAATCATGTTTCCAACATATGTTAATTTGTTTTCCTTTATTCACCTGAATCATATTCTTGGACAGAGAGATTTGGATTCATGCTTCTGTTCCCTATCAGATGTTTATTTCAAGCTGTGTTTGCAGATTTGCAATAACTGACAATTTCCATGAGTGCTGCTTAATTGTATTAGAATGATAGAATTTAATGTTTTAGAGATGAATATGGCAGACATGCTGCTAAGTGTACGTGAATGCAGGGTCTCAAAGCACTAGAGGTGTTTTTCTGTTCAAGTGATTTTGCATAGCTGTTTAAGAGGTTGGCTGGTTGTTTCTCTCCGAGGTTGCTGGGGGCCCTGTGTCTTTAAGCAGGTCAGAATGGGCTGACTCGGCTGGGTTCTGTCATCTACACTTTGTTTTCTGCGTTACACCTACTTGGAAAGAAGGGAGTCCACCTATTTTTAAAAAGTTGTTTTTCACAATATACTAAACATGCCTTAAATTCTATTTTTTTTTTCTTATGAATCAAGCACACCTCAAGCAACTGCACCACCTGGATATAAAGGGAATTTAAACAATGAGAAAATAGAGAGACTAAGCTTAAGTGCTTCAACAGCTGTATTCTTGGGCAGCTCTTTGTGTCTCAGTGTTTATCATTGTATTTAACTGTCCGCAGGGTACTTGCATGAGATGTTGTCTGAGTGAAAGTAGCTTTAGGTACACTGTCTATACATTTAGCTGTAGCTTGCCTTGTATAGACCAGGTTGCTTGGTTTCGACAGATACCCTGAAGTTTGTGCTGCAGGTAGGAGGGCTGTAGTCTGGAGGTAGTAAATCGTGTATTTGGTGTCGTTACAGTCTGCTGCGGGACCAGCCACGGTGGGGCTGTGTTGTACAGTCACGCCGCGTGCTTCTAGCGGCCACTGCGACGCGCAAAAAGACCCCCCATGTAACTGGTGTTGCTAATTACATTTCCTCTCCAAAACTGAAGAAAATTACGTGGTGGCTCAGGACTGCATTAAAATTTTAAACCTCTTCTCTTCCTCTTAATGCTTTAAGGGTTTCTCTCCAAAACAGAAGTTGGGAAGTTTTAATCCTGTTTATTTTCATTCCGATTTGCACTGTAAAGTTGACTTGCTCTACTAAGCTGGTTTTACATAAGGCCTAAGTGAAACACTGCTTGTATTTGCCCTTGCTATTGTTTACATGAGTACTGTGTACACACATGTGCCTGAATGGTACCATAAAAATCTTCAGTCAGCCTAAGCAAACCATTGATCTGTCTAATAAATATTAACAGGTTTAATCTAGGCTCTATATAATAGGGAAACTAAGACTGTCTTTGAATTATATTGTAAAAAAAAAAAAAAAGGATAAAATTAAACTGTTTCTTTATCCATACCGCTATATTTTGGCAAGTTATCCTTATTTTTCATGTTGTCCAAGAAGGCAGGCAAGCGAGTGCTTCCAAGAGAAAGCGTGGTGCTCTCCCATCTCTGCTACCAGGTGTGCTGAAGTGAAGTCGGATTTCTTCTTTCAAAAGCAGAGAAACACAATGACTGTTAGCATGCTGACGTCAGACCTCAACGTAATAAATACATCTCACATCAGAAAATGCTGGTTCTACCATTAAAAGTAAGAGAGATTTAGAAGAGGACCTTTAGGATGCCAAAATAAGCACCTTACAGCAGCACGTCACAGATGCAGGCCTAGGGCAAGCACAGGATAACTTTCAAACCACTTTTTCCTCAGTCACTGAGGTTTTAGCCCATCTTCCAAAACTGCAGTGGGTTTGCTACTTTTTAAAATTCTCTCACACGTTGTCAAAGTGCATCTGCTTAAGATCAGAACATGTCACCAGGCCGGCTCCGCTAAACCCCTTTGTCCCTTTCAAGTTACACTTACCTGGAGGCAGGAACATTCGCTTCTTTAATTCACACCAGGTATCTAAATTCCACGCAGAAATTTGGCTCCGAAAAACCTAAACCCTAGCTAACACTACTCTTTAAGCCGTAGGGAATTGTCAAGGCAGCAACCTGCACTCTTCATCTTGGAAAGATTAATATACTAAGAACAAGGAAAAGCTACTCAGCCCTCGCTAAGTGGTTCTAACTCTACCCAGGGTTGCCCTGTGAGCTGCAGGGATGTACAGACAGGGCTGCGAAAGAGGATTCGAGCTCGAGGAAATGCTTGAGGAATTCTAGCTTGAGGAGAGGTATCCCTGATCTAACCCGTTTAGTGTCGGTGCGAGACAAACATAACGAAGAGAGCGGGTTGGTGATTCGGCAAGTGCCTTTAATGGTGAGGAGCTCCCTCGCAGAACTAGAGGAAAGATCTTAGTTTTACAAAAAAGAAAATGGTATTTTACAGACCAGAAACAGAAGTTAAGCAGCAATTTATTGCAGCTGACCAGGTACGTAAATCAACTGCTCAGACAATTATGAGCAGGGCACAGCTTTTATTTTTTTGTTTGTTAAAGTGGATAGTTTCTTCCTGCTTGTAAACACTAGAAAAGTATTTCCTCTCCAAACAATTTAAACATCAGAAAGCATAAACAGTCTTTTGCAGATGTTCCTGAACAGCACCGGCTGCCTTCTCTCTGTTCTTTCTACGGGCTGCAGGGCATTTCTGTTGTCACAGACAGATCAGGCACTTTTATATTTCAGACATCAGGCTCTTAATGAAAGCTCTGTTATTTAATAAGTAAGCGTACTTACTTGTTTTCTTTCGTCAGAGAGTGCATCCATGCTTTAAGTTTTATTTGCCATTTTTTCAATCCAAAGATGAGTACGTAAAATATCTTCCGGTCAAACGACACCTGAACAGCGTGTGTGTATATATATGAGCATACAGAAGAAGTCTTGCCAGAGTTGCTCTGCTCTACAAGCTTAGTTGACGTGGCAGCGCGGGTCACAACACTAGCAAAGGCACACGGTAACGCTCTAGTTCGTGCAAGACCAAGGTGATGAAATGAGTAACTTAAATTAGAATCCCTTCTATCCAAAACGCACCCTCCCCTTCTCAGTTTTCCGAGTAGTGAATATGGCTTTATGCCAGTTCAAGAAGAAAAGCCTTTCCTGCTAAAAGCCGAGATATTCTCGGGTGTACCCGGGGACAGCCAGAGCACACGCCATTTCTACCCTTGTTCCAGAAACAGAGCCTCCCCTGTGTACATCCCATTCATTAAAAGTTCTTTAGAAAGATACTTGAGTTTTCTGCATTTTCAACAGCTGATTGAAAACATCTCAGTTAAATGATTCTTTTTATCCAATGAATATATTCTAGAATGATTAGCTGCATTCAATTTATTACTTGATACATTACAACTTACTGAAATAGCCATTGTCCACTTTTGTTTTAGGATTCACTACTGTTAACTGCCTTCAGCAGGGACACTACTTTATAAAAGGCAATCTCTTTGACGTGCTTTAAAAGCTGTAACTTGGAATATTCTGAATGTCTTAAGTTTTCTGACCCATTTTTGCTGGGTTTACAGGTTTAGCTTGTATGGAAAACCACCACTAGTTAGAATTACACACACGACAGTTCTGGATAACTCATGAAATGTACTTTCAGAAGCAGAGCAACTTACTCCAAGTTGCACAAGAGCACCTGTTGCCCTGTTTTTAATACATCAGTCACCTGGCTTTCTGCCCAAGACAGATAATGTATTTTCCTAATTTTTTCCCACATGTGTGTACGCTGGAGGAGATCCGGGCTAGCTGCATGAACCGTGACTGCTGCTCACGGAGTAGCGGCCGGCATGAGAACGAACATGAGGTTCACGCCCCACATCCGTGACTTGGAGATGGGAGAGGAGCCTGGAGAGAACGGAACGGATTTCTTACCGTGCCTGCTACAGCAGGTGCTCCTGCTCGCTCCCTGCGGCACACCGAGTCCTGCTGCTGCCCCGCCGGCGCATACTTGGCTCTTCCAGCAGTCACGATTCAGACCTGTTTTGCCAGGCTGCCAGCATTTTTCTTAGGAAATTCAAGTGAGAAAATCGAATCTGCCCTTTTCAACAACGTGCAATGGGAAAAAGAAGGAATGTCTCCAGCTCCAGGGCTGTGGACTTTTTTTTTTTTTTTTTTGAAGAAAGAAACACAGACCCCAAACCTGCTACAAACAGTTGCTTTCCAAAAGGGAAAATAAGCCCGCCTGCAACAATTCCATCGTGACGCTGGGAAGCAGCTCCAAAGCAATTATCCTTTCAAGCTCCCACTATCATCACTATCCCACTATTATCATTTCGAGCTCCCCTCACCCATGCTGTGAACAGATTTGCTCAGTTCTCTTCTGATTTCTCATTTTGATCAGATTGTTTTCGATTAGCTTTAGTGTAATGAACATTTATCGTTTGC